CTGTGTTCTTTTGTGTCTTGCATACATGATTTCTAGAATTACGCCCAAATAAATCAATTTTGGTTTCGTCAGTCCATAATACTCTTTCCAATTGGATTTTTCCTTATCCATATGCTCACGAATGATTTTCAACCGGGCATCTCTGTGTTTCTTCAACAGCAGTGGAGTTTTCCGAGGGGAGCGTGACTTTAGATTGTTCTTATAACTTTCATTGTTTATTGTCCGTTTAGTGACACAGATTCCTGATGAAGGCAAATCATTCTGCAACTCTTGACGTGTAACCATTGGATTTTGTTTAATTTGATGCATTAATTTCCCCGAAGACCATGCAGAAATCTTCCGGGGAGCACCAGTTCTTCTTTGGTTTTGAACATTCTTGAGTTTTTTATACCTTGCTGTGAATGAACTAATGGTAGTAAATAGAATATTTGGTTTGTCTGAGATTTTCCTGTAATTTTTACCTTCTTTCCAAGGCTTAACAATCAGTTCTCTTTGCGAATTTGTCAATTCTTTACCTCTTGCGATGACGATAACCTTCTTGCACGAATATCAATTACAGAATATTCTGTTTGTATTTTTTAGGCTAAAATTAACTACTGATAACATTATTGGAACATTATAGAATATTCCACTTGAATAATCTAGAGTATTAAAGCAATTTAAAAGTTTTAAAATCTGAAATTTGCATTGTACGAAGACTTCTTTCACACATTAAAATGGGATTTATTTCTATTAAATCAATTTTTTTTCTTTTTTCTGTGCATATTTAGTTGTTATGCATCTGTGTACAGTTAATTGTATGAAAAGTATGTTTCCATTGTCGGAAATATGATAAATTAAAAATTTTTACATGTATGAATATTTGTTTCCCCTCACTATATATATATATATATATATATATATATATATATATATATATATATATATATATATATATATATATATTGATGTCCTGGGTATAACGATAAACTACATTCGGCAGCAAGTCTTTTCATCGGGAGATTGGAGGATTTGAGAAGCGTGGAACCGCCTTTTAATTGCTGTTGTTCCCAGGTCAGCCCTGACCCGGGGTGATAGCACCTGTTAGGGTCCCAGCTATGAGCAAATAGTGTCTACCAGGGCTGACCAAGCTCTTTAGTGTTATAGAACACGATTGGTCTAGGAGATGGAAAACTCTTTCACGAAAAGCCTGTGGTATGTTGTCTGCTTCGTCTGTGGCATTTATTTGCACCGACTAATAGTTCCGAAAAGTGTGGATGGTTCTGCACAAGCCTTCACCACTTTAATCAAATCACTTGTGTAGGTTTTCTAGCGGTTTACCTTGATTTATTCTTATCCACACAGTTCACTTGCAAAGTCCGCTGGCGAGAGAGTAAAGGCGACGGTCCTCAGAAATGTGGTGTTGCTCCAATCTCCACAGCAGTTGGTGAAAACTCTCTTGACTGATAAGTCAGGCATTTTAAATCGCTGGAAAGAGCATTTTGAAACTGTGTTAAACACCACTTCGGTTACTGATGAGGAAGCCATCACATCAATTGAGCAAAATCCTGAAATTCCAGAGTTGTCTTTTGAACCTACCTATCAAGATGTAATTGGCTTCATCAAGCAAATCTCATCTGGAAAATCACCTACTCCTAAAGATCCTATTCCACCCGAAGTGTATAAGCATGGTGGCCAAAAGTTGGTAGAAAAGCTACATCTCCTTTTTTGTGGAGATATGGAAGGCAGGCTGTGTCCCACAGGATTATAAAAACGCCTTTATAAAACACCTCTACAAAAACAAGGGTTCTAGGTGTTAATCATCGGGGGATATCACTACTTTCAATTGCAGGCAAAATCCTAGCGAGACTGATTCTAAACAGAATCATTATGCACCTTGTTGATGACATCTATCCTGTGGTTTTCGGTCGGGTCGTGGCACCATTGACATGATATTTTCTCTTCGTCAGGTTGCAGAGAAGGTTCGCGAGAAAAACCAGGAGTTGTACATGATGTTTGTGGACTTGACGAAGGCCTTTGACATTGTGAATCGAGAGGCTCTTTGGCAAGTCTTGAGGAAACTCGGCATCCCTGAAAACATGCTAAAGGTCATCATCTCTTTTCATGAAGAAATGAAAGCTAATATCGTGTCTGATGGTATGATGTCAGAATCCTTTGATGTCACAAATGGTAACAAGCAAGGTTGTGTCATGGTCCCTGTCCTTTTTTACCTTTTCTTTTCAGTTAAGCTGAAATATGCATTTGCAGACACAGACAGTGCCGTCTGTTTCAGTTTCGAACAACTAGTGGTCACTTCAATCATCAGCGCTTCAAAGCCAAGACCCACCTTCGTACGCAAATTATTCGTGATTTGTTGTTTGCTGATGCTGCTGCTCTTGTAGCGACATCCTTTGAAGAAGCCCAACATCTGATAAATCGTTTCTCGGCTGCATGTAAAGCATTTAGTCTTACACTTAGCATAAAGAAAACTGAAGTAGTGCACCAACCTTGTCCTACTCCGAAGCAATTCTGTAGTGAGAAACAAAAACCACCAGTCTACAAATTTTCAGAGACACCATTGAATGTAGAAGACAAAGCCCTGAACTATGTAAAGTCTTTCACCTATCTTGGTAGCAAAGTCAACTACAGTGCATCTTTAGATGATAAAATCATGCATAGGATTGCTAAGGCTACCAGTGCTTTCGGCAAAATTCGCCATCGCTTGTGGAATGAGCGGGTATTCGACTGGATACGAAAATTCGGGTTTACAGAGCTATTGCCCTTCCATCCTTTTGTACGGCTCAGAATCGTGGACTTCATACAGGTACCATATACGCCAGCTGGATGTTTTCCATAAAAGCTGCCTGCGTGCAATCTGTGGAGTTAAGCTTCAAGATAGGACATCTAATGTAGACCTGTTTAACAGGTGTAATATTAGAGGAATCGAGACTTATCATACAGTCTCAGTTACGGTGGACTGGTCATGTCTTGAGAATGTCTGATGACAGGATACCCAAGATCGTAATGTACAACCAGTTAGATCAGGGCTACAGGAATGTAGGACAGGAATATAAGATACAAAGACAAGCTGAAAAACAACTTGTCAGCTGTCAATATACCACATAAGACCCTTGAGCGCTTAGCCTTGGAGCAGGTAGAATGGAGACCAACGTGTTTTAGTGGACTCAGTAGTTTTCAACCTGCTTGTCTGAATCATCTTGAGGAAGCGAGAGCAAGAACTAAAAGGTCAGACAATCTAACAGTGATCTCATCTCACAATCCTCACACTTGCTCCATGTGTAGCCTTCTTTGTAAATCACTAGCGGGTTTTAAATTCCACTTAAGATTATCGCACAAAATTTCATAACTGAATCAACTAAACTGTCAGATCCTCATACGTCGAAACCGACGTGAGATTCCATTATTATTATTATTTATTTGTAAAGAAAGGGGATGGATATTTTATTTATTAATTCGCCAGATTTTTTTACATGAACGTTATTTTTTGTGGATACTGGTATTTGAGTGAACATTTCATTTATTAAACAGTATATTGACCTATTTCCGTCTTCTGGCCTGAATATTCGGGAAATTTTAATAAATGGAGCGTCTACTTAAATACGAGTATCTACTAAAAATAGCGGTTAAATAACACACACACACACACACACACACACACACACACACACACACACATATATATATATATATATATATATATATATATATATATATATATATAAGTAGTGTAATGACCACCACCTTATCTCCTCTTTTTTTCTTGAACATTTTCCTACCTCTACTGTGATTAGATATGTTTCCGTTAAACTAACTCAATACAAAAAAATTAATTGCAAAATTTAAATAATATTTGGCCCTTCTGTCTAAAGTACGCTAGATCAAACGGTGTTTTCCCCTACAAAGAGGGGCGAAGAATCGGAACCTGCCGGAGAGCGGAGACCAGTAAACCTAATACTGTTTAAAATGAAATAAAAATAGGGCGTCTATTTCAAACACGGTTATGCGCTAAAAATAACATTTGAAAGAATAAAAATGTTGGATTAAAATAAATCCGTTAATTCTTTAGAAATTGTTTTGTTTACGTTTCGGGTATATACTGGGCAGATAGGGCTTTCGAGAAAAATCTGGGCGAGAGAGTGTGCATTCCTAAAAAGGGAAAACAGAAACTTGCATGGCTGTGACACTCTTTGTGGCTAAGAGTTTTCAATGACGCCGGATCAAACGCGTGCGTGTCTCTCTGTGTGAGGAGTCATTTCGATACCATCCAGCAACAGTATTTTCTTTAAGATTTCTCGAGTTTACAGTTTTTAAATGAATTCACACCAAGCAAGGGGATAATGCCACTAAGAGCCAGAAGAATTTAGAAGGAACCGGACACCGACTCCTAATCAGGAAACAAGGGATAAACCTCTACTCTTTTTCAAGAGACATGGGGTGAGCATGAAGCTTGCCATAGGCGAACGTATCTACGTCTATTAATTATAGTTGCCTGTTTGATTGTGTGTATGTGTTGAAATGTTTAGCTGTTACAAAACCCACTACGTTCAAAGATTTCAGCCCTGTTTCGACGATGTAACTTCACGTATTCTTTATCTTGCTCACACTTTCTGATCCTTTGAAAATTCTGAATGATTTTTGTCATTGAATTGATGTAGACACAAAACTAAACTTGACTGAAATACAATTTAAATCAATAAAAAATTTAAATTAAAAAATACGCGAAAACAAGAAAATTTATAACGTTTTTAAAAATAGATCGTTTAATTTGTTTTTCGATAAGCAAGCACTATCTAAACGCTAAAATTTAGTGGCATATTATCGTGGGTTATCCCACTTGATTTTCCTAAAAAAACATCGCTAGGGGACGCGTCTTAAGCCTTATGAATAGGGAATGATATTCACACTCATTCTCTTTCCACTTTTTACAACTCTGGCTATAACATTTGAACGAATAAAAAAGCTTGGATTAAAATAAATACAGCTATAAGCTGTAGTTGCAC